CGAAGGGATCCTGGGGCCGAAGCTAGCCGAAGGTACGGCTAGATCCTGCGGCAGCTTTGTGAATAGACCCCTAAAAATTCATTTTGGACTAAATGAACAAAACCTAAAAAATGTTTCATTAGTTTCGTCAAGCAAAACAAATTTTTATGCTATTTTGGATTTGGCCAGTGCATGACGTCACATGACATCGGGTGACATAACACGTCTGTTGGGGGGGCACAATTTTCTCTTCTTGCCTCGGGTGCAAAAGTAGCTAGCTACGGCTCTGCTCTATGCTGTGGTGTAGAAATCCGCCTGGTTTAATGTTATGCTGTTGGGTACTTGTCGAAATATCCTGCTGGCAAGTTACCGGAAGTGACGTCATTGGAGATCTCAAAGAGTTGGCCACTTTGATAGAACACCTGCAAAAAACTACAGGAGGAGGTGGAGACAAAACCAGTCACCCTGTACAAGAAGAGAGAGCAGCAGTGACTGGTCTTTATTACAGAAGCATAGTTTTACACTAGATTATTGAACAGGTCGGGAATATATACACAAAGCACACCAAGATTAAAGTAAGGAGCTAGTCGGGAAACTTTTGTACAAACAGAGTCAGCAGCCAGCGGCCGCTGTCAGAATACAATGAAGGCAGCGGGAGATTCCACGATCAACCCTCATAAGCATTGCTGGAAGAATCTGTTATATTTTCTTCATTTAGCCCGCAGGTTGAACAGAGAAAATATTACAGTGTATGGGCAGCTTTAACCGTTCCATCAACTTTATTCTTGCTATAAATGGTCACCAAGACAAGTAGAGAGTGAATCCCCCCAGGGGAGACGTAGAAAGCACAAAAAACACGACTCTGACTCTATCCCAAAAAAAAAGGCTTGGCCATAGATAATCTTTGAAAACAATGAAAAAAAACTACAAATGCATACATGTACATTAAAACGCACAGGGGCCAATTTAATAAAGGCTTTTTCATTCTGGTATTATGGCTGTATTTAGAACTTGTGCCAAATCCATAAAAGTTCCAAAGTGAATACTAATATGTGCAACAGATTCACAAAGTTCTTATTTGGGATAGCTCCGGCGCCCCTGACGAAGTTCATAAGGTCGCAACGCACGTCGAACGGAGGCTTTGTGACAGAGAGACTGTGATTGGGGAGACATGAACTGGGACACTGGGCGCCGGAGCTATCTTCAGTATCATTTATCGCCACTGAGTTTTCTATCGTTACTATACTGGAAGTTTGATTATTTTTATGTATGTTTTTCACTTAAAAAAAAGTTTTGAGCTGGCAAGTGTACACTATGGAGCTTATTTATTTTGCACAGCATCCTTGGTTGTAAAGATGCTCTCGGCTGCACAGCATCCTTGGTTGCTATGACGCTCTCGGCTGCACAGCATCCTTGGTTGCTATGACGCTCTCGGCTGCACAGCATCCTTGGTTGCTATGATGCTCTTGGCTGCACAGCATCCTTGGTTGCTATGATGCTCTTGGCTGCACAGCATCCTTAGTTGCTATGATGCTCTTGGCTGCACAGCATCCTTGGTTTCTATGATGCTCTTGGCTGCACAGCATCCTTGGTTGCTACGATGCTCTCGGTGGCACAGCATCCTTAGTTGCTATGATGCTCTCGGCTGCACAGCATCCTTAGTTGCTATGCACAGCACCATGACAACCAATGACATTATGCAGTGCCATATCAACCAAGGACAATGTGCAGTTGACAGTTTCATAGCTACCAATGACACTGTGCAGCACGGAGGCTGAACACGTACTGAGAACAGATTGTCTGCAGTATGAACACGCCAGCCACAGTGCTGTCCCCCACCATGCCACACATTTTGTACCTGTTTCTGATGTGTACATGGATTTGTTGCAGGTACTGGCATTTGTGGTGCAGAGGAGCGACACACTTTGTGAATTCCAGAGATAATCTTAGAGATGCTTTTCATATAACTTTTACCTGGACGTCATACCAGTGCCTCCTGCGGCAAGGTGACAGTGCTAAGCCCCTGCCATGCAATGCAGCAGTGGTGGTCAACTTGCTGTGCACAGTTCCCAACATGGGACTAAAGCATGTGTGCATGTGTTTAGTGTACTTTGCATTCCAATTTGGTCTGTGTATGTTTATGTATGTGCACTCCTGCAGTTGGCCCCCAACAAGGTCTGCGCATGCCTCCTGCATCCATGGTGGGCAGCCCAACAGCCAACTTCTAAAGTGCACACAATACACTAAAAGTGCATTGCAGACCTCTTTTAAATACTAGCTACTTAGCAGTCTCTGGCCTTAATGCTTTCTGAGCCACTGTCCAAGCACTAAGCTCATAGAGTCACAGGGAAATCAGCTCTTCTGATCTGCAGACTTGTTCCAGGTAAGTGACTGAAATTATTGAAGCCTTTGGATGAACATGAGACACAGATAATTTGCATTTTAAAAGGCAAATTTCACTATGGCAACCTAAATATTTCTTTACAGTATAGGTCTCATTTAAATGTGTAATATTCAGGGCTGTCCTGTTTATCCTTGTTTGAGTCACTGGTCCAGAACCAGTATTTCAGGTCAGGTGCCTTGACTTCACTAGCTACATACTTTTCACAGTTGGTGACTTACTAGTGGATGGAGGATAAGGATGACAGATCCAGAGATTGCACCTTTAGGATGAAACTCTAGGCACACAGTTTAAGACAAAGTTCAATCACATGCAGTATGCGCGTTACTTACCAAGCAAAAGAATTTGTAATGTTGGTCAACAACACCCCCCCATGCCACTTTGAGTCCAGTCCTTCAGAAACCAGAGGAGATTATTCTGAAATACTGACCAATAAGACGGAAGTAGAGAGGTAACAAGTCACAGAGCTCAACTAGGAGGCTGAAATCCCAAACCAGGAAATCTGGCTGACCAGAATCACAAATCTCGTCAAGGAAAGTAGTACATATACACCTATTTCAATTGTGATTTGATGTTACCCCAGAGTTTTACCATAGCCCTCGGAATGCCAAGGGCACCTTGCAAAACATCTTGTGTGTCCCCTTTCTTATTCCTCTGACTGCCAAGGATCCCTTTCAAACACCATAGTTGTCCTCCTACATCTGGTAAATGTAAGGGGAAAAGAAAGTACATGGTATTGCAAAAGTGATCTAGTTTTCAGCTAAAAACACAGATGAAATACATATAGGGGAGCAGCTTTATCTGCCAAAGATTTTTTTAATTCTGTTCATCCATTCCTGAGATTTACACAGCTCTGCCTTACAGCACAGTCAGCAGGCTAACACCACATTGGTGCAGCTTACCAGTCCTGGAATGGATTCATTAGTTTTCTTTTTTTTTGGTCAGGCTTTTTTTCTTTATTTTTACCTGGTGATTCTGCCAGTAACACACTTTCTGTCCTTGGGTGAAAATAGTAATTTACTGTAGCCTGTCTATAGAGGAAAAGCATTGTCACTGTTGGAAAGAAAGCCTACAGAACACATCCAACTCTTTTCCATAAGGAGGGGTGTTCTGAAATTCACAGAGGTGAACTAGTCAGGGTTGAAAACACTGCTTGAGATTTCAGTGCACGGAAGTCCTGAGCTTACTGGATTTCTGTCAGGAATCACAGGAATTTGTTTGCACCCATCAATCAGCTGCAACAATGGTTTCAATGGGTAATTTAATAGACCAAAAGGGTGTTGAAGGTGCCTATTACCTCTTCCTATGTGACAGTGCTCAGGCCTAGCAGCCAATTGCTGGGTCAGAGCGATGTCATGACCATGGAAATGTCACCGCTCCCTTTAGTGTTTGTCACCAGGAATTTTTGTGCCAGCTGTGGCAGAAGAGTGCTGTTAAAAGTAACACTAAACTCAGTGGGTTAACTCTTTAAAAAAGTACCTTATTAACAAAAATAACACTCAGCTGTAGATCCTCAAATCATCTCTCAATTGGTGGTGACGCTGTCCTTCCTACTGGAGGGTGGCTACTTTTGTTCTTCATGGTCCCTGTGTGTGTTGTAAAGCAGTCACCACTTCAAGTTCGCTCCTGTGATGGACTACAATCTCAATACAAAATTAATAAACTAAACATGAGATTGTAGTCCATCACAGGAGCGAACTTGAAGTGGTGACTGCTTTACAACACACACAGGGACCATGAAGAACAAAAGTAGCCACCCTCCAGTAGGAAGGACAGCGTCACCACCAATTGAGAGATGATTTGAGGATCTACAGCTGAGTGATACACAAATAAGATACATTTTGTTAATAGTTAAAAGGTACTTCAATGCATTTTTAAGATTTAACTCTTAAGCTTAGTGCCACTTTAAGGCAAGTATCAGGGGGCCTAAAAGAAAACAAAATAGGCAAGGTGACAGTGTCTCTTTAAAAAAAAAAGAAAGTCCTTAAAGAACTATGGGGTTAAGTCTTTTCCCCATAGTTCTCCTTAGGGTAACGGGAGGACACAAACTAGCGTCCTCCCGTCACCCTAGGCTCAGTATACCGCGAGCTACAGCTCGCAGTATACTGAGACGCCACAGCTGAAGCGCATCCCGACAATTGTGCCAGGATCCGCCCAGCTGCGTGACTGACAGCTGGCTCTGCCTATCTAGAGGCAGAGCCAGCTGTACCCTCCCCCGTCCGATCCACCAGTCAGCGCTGGCGGATCGGAGCGGGGAATCCAGCCCCTCCCCTGTCACGGCAGAGAGCTGTGGCAGGATCGAGAGGTGAGCTAACGCCGGTATGTGTTCGCTCACCTCCCAATCTACTGAGCCGACCTGTGACAGTCTTGGCTAGAACTATGAGGTGAGTGAAAAGCACTCACCTCATAGTTCTCCTTTAAGACCTTTTTTTTTTTCTTTTAATTTTTATAGTAAACAGTAGCTGAACCTCATCCTAACAGTTCAAGGTTTTTTTTTGCCCCAAAGCATGTAAAATAAAATATGACTTTACATTAATATTACTGCATTTGTTGCTATGCTGTTTTAAACACAATAAAAAAAGTACAATGCAAATATAAACAATTTCTTCCACAATTTTATTGGATTCCAAACTGAAAGCGGTTATGGATTTATTACCACAAAGGTGTGAACATCATAAAAAAAGAAATGTAGAACAGTGTGTATTTAGGTTTATCCACAGAATAAAGTCACTTGCAATGCTTGATCCTTCTGAGTCCATCAATCATTTGAGAGGTTAGGCTTTCTGCCAAAATCAAAAGACAGCCATTATACACCAGGCTCACAAAACAGGTCTTGGCTGCTGGGTCAGGAGTAGACCAAACCGTTTCTTGACAGTAACGCGGTGTCGGGAGTACTTGTCATCTGGAGAGAACCGTGCTGGATGTGCTGAAGAGGTCGGCTGTCCACCCGGACATACTTTCTATTGAGGGAGGAAAAAAGGAAAACTTAAATACAAGCCATTTAACCTTAGCACATCCACATTGTGTAAGCCAGATCAGAAGTGGAGCTCAACCTGTGGTACCTGCAATTGGCAAATGCACCACTTTCATAGGACAGGTAAACACCTGGAGTTACAGTGAACTTGGTCCAGTTTTGTAAGCCAATCCTAAAGAATGGATAGGTAAAGTTCAACCTGTGGTAGGTGGTACTAGGCAAATTAAACATGAGCTCAAAAAAATCAGGCAAACATCCATTTGCTGATCTCTTCCCTGCTGAAACCCGGAAGAGACCATGATATCCTCCCTTCCAGTGCGAGTTCTGAGTGTGATAATAAAGTTAAGTAAAATAAAAAAGGAAGAAGGGTATTAAAGCAGAACTCCAGGAAAAATGATAAACCCTTGCAGTGTGGCTACCCCCCACTGCAAGGGTTAAGGGCTCATTTTGGTCTAGGGCTGAAAATAACAGATATACTCACCCAATCCGTGGAGGCAGCTAGCTGTGACAGTGCCCCCACCAGCCTGTCTCCTCCTACACTGCAGTGATGGTATGTTTCTCAGCATCCTCAGGTTCTATACACTGTGTATAGAACATGATGATTTACAGGACCTAAAAAGGTACATACATACATTTTAAGATTTTTGTTCAAATGGTTTTGTTTCTGGCATGAACCCTCATTATACCTAAAATTGCCCATCAAGCATAGTCAAATGTTGATTTTGGAAATCGTTCCTTAGTCATAATTAAAGAGAACTATGGGGTAACCTTTTTATCCCATAGTTCTCTGTAGGGTCACAGGAGGACATATACTAACGTCCTCAGGTGACCCAAAGCGCAGTATATAGACTATAGTTCGCTATATACTGAGAGCGCAGCAGCCAGGATGGATCACGACAATACTGTCATGATCCACCCAGCTAGCTGATTGACGCAGGCTCTGCCTATCTAGAGGCAGAGCCAGCTGTGCCTGCCTCCCTCCCCTCCGCGCTGGAGGATTGGAGAATCCCTGTGGGGATCGGTGACTGAGTCACTGTTCTCTGCAGGGAGATCAGAAAGTGAGCGAGCAACGGTATGTGTTTGCTCACTTCCCGATCTATAGAGCCGATGTGTGGCAGTTTCAATGTCACACGTTGGCTCTACGTATGAAGATTAGTGTAAATCACTCACCTCATAGTTCTCCTTTAAGGCGGTCATACATTGTTAGATTTCCATTCAGAAACCCATACAGCACCGATTTTCGTTTTTACAAATGTGAACATAATTTTTTGTAGTCAGTTTGGAAAATCTTTCTCTGACCGAATGAAAACAGGTGAATGAGTGGGGTTTTCATTCGTCTGAAATCTCCCCAAGAACTCAGCAAATGCCCAAATGAAAGCTGCCTATGTCAAACGTATACTTTCTCTGCTTCCTCAGCTTCTTTGGGGTCCCTAGGTGACACTAGGGGTCTGAAAGACCCCTGATGTCTCCATAAAGAGGACCTGTCACACTCCATCTGCTATTACATAGGGAGCTGGTTAGCCCCCTATGTAATAGCAATAGGGTTAGTGTAAAAAAACTAAAATAAAGTGTTTAAAAATTAAAGTAACATAAAAAAATGTTTTTTGCATTTTTTTTCTTTTAAGTCCCCCGTCCCCCACGCAAACACGTGTCGGTGCGCCTACGTGCGAAAACAACAATTGCGCTACACATGTTACATATCGCTGCGAACTTCGGAGTGAGAGCATTAATTCTAGCGCTGTCAATCACTGTTAGAACTAAACTGATGAGCGGTAAAAGAGTTTAAAGTGTTCACTATGGGAAATTTGGGGTATTGACTTTTTTTGCGGCTTCGCGTTTGGTATCCATTTACCCGGAGTGACCCCGTCTTTCATATTTTACCCAAAAATTGGGATTATGTTTCCATGCACTACATTTTAATTTAGTTTTTTTTCTTCCTAAAAATACTGGCTTGATAAACATTTGCGCAAAAACTGTGCAACATAAAAAATTGCAACTAGCATTTTTACATTCTACAGGTCCTCTGCTTCCATAACGTATGTAATTGTTTGTCGGTCTGGAGCTGTTTTCTAGCCAAAAATGTATATTTTATGTGCGCGCAAATAGTAAGAAAATGCCCCGGACAGCAAGTGGTTAAGGAAAGATATAATTCTGGGGGGACTTAAAAGAGAACTATGGGGTCAGTGCTTTCCCCCATAGTTCTCCTAAGGGTAACGCTAGTTTGTGTCCTCCCGTCACCCAAAGCTCAGTATACCACGAGCTACAGCTCGCTGTATACTGAGACGCCGCAGCAGGAATGGATCCCGACAATTATGTCTGGATCCACCCAGCCGTGTGAGTGGCAGCTGGCTCTGCCTATCTAGAGGCAGATCCAGCTGGACCCGCCCCTCCCCCGTCCATTCCATTAGTCAGCGCTGGAGGATTGGGGAGGGAATCCATGCAGGGAGCAGTGACAGTCACGGCTCTATCGAGAAGTGGGCGAGCGCCGGTATGTGTTCGCTCCCTTCCCTAGCCGACCTGTGACAGTTTCATTGTCACAGGTCGGCTCAGATTATGAGGCTGAGTGAGTCGCCAGGTCTAAAATGTACATTTTAACATGTGTGCAAAAAATGGCTCTTGCAGCAAAGGGGTTAAAAGCTAAGTTCACTTTTATGACCACGTTAAACCCATATTTAGGATGCAACATGAAACATGGTCACATCACAACCACCCCCTAATTACCTGAATCATGGGGTTCTTCTCCCTGTGGGCTGCTACTTTTTCAGCGTGGCTGTGAACGGCTCCACTTGCACAACCATGTCATCCATTCATAGATCCTTGGACAGAATCAGTGAATGGAGAAACCACAAGTTCCATCAGCTACCGCTGCAGAGACTTGTAGTACTGAATGGCATACAATTATGGCAATATCACTGCACTTGTTATCTAGTCATTCGTCCCATCCATGTTACTGGTTTGGACGAGAGGAGGAGTGTGCAGGAACCAGAGCATTACACCTACAATCTGATCGTTGTTGCAATGCTTTACAGGCTCCAATGCAAAAAAAATACTTGCAGGTTTTTTTGTAATGAAGTTTGTATTTATTATTATTAAACGGTTGTATTTATTATTATTAAACTTGATGAGCATAGGATGGGGACAGGTCCTCTCAAGCCTGTGCTCCAAGAGTCCGTGATGTATTAGCTTTTTCAGTGGCAGACAAATTCAATCAGTATAGCATCCATATCATGCCGTGATGAAAGAAGTATACGTTTGAATACGCGTGCGTCCCCCCGTTGTATAGACCCCGGAGAGGTAAGGCCAAGCGGTGGCTGTATTGGGAGAAGTCTCCAGCACCCATCAATACCCTACGGGAGCCTTACCTTCATGGTGTACACCCGCTCCCCTTCCTCGTTCAGATAATACTGCAGGAACATTATACAACCGATCACTCTCCGCCCGCTGGAACACCGCGAATCACCGACACAACAACGTGCTTCCGCCTGAACTCCGCCGCTTCCGGTCTGGACGTCACTTCCGGCCCGGGGGGTTGTGGGTCTTGTAGTGGGGGTGGAGATTACACGTGGCTGCTGGATCGGAAAATTGGATCTCAGTCACGCTTCTATGAATAGTACAGTGTAAATGATTGTTATAGTGTGCGGAACTCGGAGCTTCACAGCAAAGCTTCCATTGCTAACTATTCTGGCCTGGTGCCCAGGCAGTCCAATTTACCGTCCTTTTGGTAGTGTTCATAGTGCTCGTCATTACTGTAGCTGACCAGACTATGGTATAATCAGTTTAGGGTGAATGTGGCTTGGTAAAGAGCACCTTAATGGCTCTCAGCATTCGTTATAAGGCTGTGAGGACTGGGGATATCAGTCACTTGAGTGGAAATAACCTCTAGGCCCCATTCACACTTGCATTTTGGGCAGTGTCTGAAATTGCTCCATAAGAAAGCATGCATCCAGAGGCGATCACATGTAATCAGACATGCATTGATTCTGCAGTTTGCATGAGTCTCACAGAGGGATTTGAGAGACTTCCCCCAAATGCAAGGGTAAATGATCATTAAAGCATCCCTTCTAATGTCAGAATTTGAGGAGGGACAGCTATAAAAAGAGAACACAGGCGCTGCTGTGAAGTGGGCATGGTTAACTACTTCAAGACTAGGACTTACAAGTTCATGTGGTTATACCAAGATGGCTGCTGCTCCTCCATTTCAGCATGTGATGCTTATTAATTAGAAGTACAACCACTCAGATCACTTGTAGCAGCCTGCAAATGTGCTTCCCCCTTGCAGTGGTTTCTGTGGTCAGGATGGAGAGCGGGAGCAGACAAAGGAAAATCTGTTCCCAATCCTGTGCGCCGTTTGTATTGGAGGGCAGGAGAGACTGGTCAAATAGACACCGATGTCTCCATAAAGGGAACCTGTCACCTCCAAACACTATCTTGTTAGCACCTTTTTGAAAGCAATAAAGTTAAGTGAAAAAATAAACCAACCTCACCGCCCCTGTCATCTGCATGCAAATAAACACGTAGGGCATGCTAGTGTAGGTAAACAATGATTTTGCCACACATCTTGGATATCACTTCAAACATCGGAGTGAGAAAAATTATTCTGGGGCCATAATTCACTCATAACTAAACTGAGAAGCAGTAAAGGCTTTTAAAGCATCGCATATGAAAATTTTTGAGTAGCATAGGTTTTAACCATTGCAGAGTTGCACAAAATTTTAAAGATTAACGTATTCGGTATCTATTTACTCGATGTGACACCATCATTTATTTAAAAAAAAAAAAAGTATTATAGTGTGTTTTTGTGCTCTAAAATTAATTTTATAGTTTTTGCTCCTAAAAATATTGATTTGATAAACATTTGTTCAAATATGTATTCTACAGGGCCTAAGCTCCCAGAAAATATATACAGTAATTGGGGGTCTAAAGTCATTTTCTTTACAAAAATTCAGATTGAATCGTGTGTTTAAAAAAAATGCTACTAATGTAAGGTGCTAAGGTTTTTAAATAGTATTTGAGCATAATTAGGCATCATGTGCACAGGCCCATGGGGAAAAAAAAGGTGATAAAGGATAAATATATAAGGATAAATATATAACTTGGTGTCTGTGGCAGAGTAAAAATTTGAACATTGGTGCCATTGGGAAAAAAATGATATCCTCTTCAACGGAAATATGCAAACACAGTCAGGCAGAAGATCACACCACTTGACAGGCATGGATTTGGTGCAAGGTGCTGGGACATGACTGTGGAACACCGAAATTTTGTTGAAATCCAGAATAGTTCTGAAGGATCTTGGACAGTTGGGGGAATAGGGAGTCTGAATAACCTATGGCATAACTTAGTGTATTAAACATAGCTCAGTCTTGCACACAGTGAAGTTTCTGAGTGTGTAGATTTTGCTGGTTTAAAAATCATTCTAGTTTTTATTATCATACATTAGTTGTGCAGTGGAGTACAAAAATGTAAATCTCACCAAATGTGACCAGTTTTTGCGACTTAGAAACTTCAGATTGAATGTAGAAATGCTATGCTGATATTTAGTTATATATAAACACAGCGCTTCTACACCATCCCGACTCAAATATTTAAACAAAATGTGACTAAATATTATGTGGACAATTAACAATAGTGTACTCTCTATAAAAAAATATAATTCAACTGTTTATTAAAAATGTTTATTAAGGCATCAATATAAAAAAAGCAAATGCACTTACAAGTACAGAAAGTAATCCAGTTTGCCATTCTTAAACCACTCCTCGGAGAGAAAGAGACAATCAAAATGGCATCAACAAACTCCACTCGACACGTTTTGTTCTCCTTGACTTTATCAAGAGTGTTTGTTGCATCCATTAACATCCTATTTATATTACTCTATATCCAGGTCAAAGGTTCTAGTTCAGCCCTCTCCATGGACCTTTGGCTGGGATATAGATTATTATAAATAGGATGTTAATATCTGCAACAAACAACACTAAGAGAAATAGTTCCGATTACATTTTTTATGCTCCATGGAGAGATCTTTATCATAGCACACCAAATTCAATCAATTCAATCAATTAACTATAAGAAACCTACCAAACTTACTCAATGTGGCTTAAAACCTGATTCCTAAATATTAGAAGGCATAAATCTCCTACATCGCTTCGGGAGTGGTTGTTATGGGTGGGAAAAAAAAAAATGTAAAGAAAAAATATTTTACTGCTGACTTTTTTTTTCCATATGGTCTGAATGGTTTGCATTCAAAAACAGAAGATCTTAATGTCATGACTATATTATATGTCATAAGAAGGATAGTATCAGAAGGTAGTCTACTGTGAAGTGCTTACATATCCCTTAAGTCAGCCACTGTTATATACCCTTATCCTTTCCTTCTGTGTTTCTGTCCTGTCTGGTATTGGTGATTAAGCTTTGACATACATATTCAGCATTAGTAAGATAGATTTGTCACAATGCTTTTGATTACTTTTTCTGGAATTTAGAAAAAAAATATATTATTTTGTCTTACAAAATATTATAATATTTTTCAAATACACTTGATTATTTGTGAACTGGATGCATTGACCTGAGGAGAGCATCTTATATCGTTTATTTAGAAGCTTTTATACTGTTTTCTGGTATGCATGGCCAAACAAACTTTTTAACATACTACAGTATATGTTTTTAAACTGGAGACACCAATTATAATCAGTGAACGCTGGCAACTATGCAATATATTTGTTGTTAGAGAATTAGGAAACTGTTTAGGCCAACCCATTTCCTAAGCACTTTAGACATCGTATGGAGCAATATATATTTGTTGCAATACTTAACATAATTAGAGCAAGTGTAAAGACTATATATAGAATGCATACAAGTAAATTGGTAATTCGATCAAAAGGATGATTTGCTTTTTTTTTTCATCCTGGACATATTTTTGGTTGGCCATTAAGGTGTGGAATGTTGACGACACAAAATTGTAAAATTACTTATCATTAATGCAATTTCCATGACTCCATGGTATCCAGGACCGAGGGATTTCTCCTTCAACGGACAGGAAGTCCAAAGGGTTTAAAAACTATTGTCCCCCCACAAACCCCCCACAAACCCTAGCATTCCTTCAAGTCTAACATAGGTATTACGAGAACTAGTGTTCATATCAAGTGTTAAAGAGGTTTTGGGTACTTGTGGTTAGAAGATTCTGGAAGTTCTCTTGGTGTGTGTGATAAAGCAGCAGGAGGTTTTTCTGAGGCAGCAGAGGATTCCCTGTAGGCTGGCGTGCCTGAGGACTTGACAGTGCAGTCAGGAGTTTAGTGATGTAGAGCTGGCTATCCGTGCAGTGCGCTGATGAAACATTAGTGTTATGGCATATGGTTACCACATTTAGTCATGTCGAAAAATATTGACACCCCTGTATTTCTGTCAGATAATGCACCACTTCTCACAGAAAATTGTTGCAATTACAAATGTTTAGGCATTCTCATGTTTATTACTTTTGTTTGTATTGGAATGACACAAAAAAAGTAGAGAAAAGAAAGCCAATTCTGATACATTCCACGCAAAACTCCAAAAATGGACACCATAGTTGCCTTTTCGGGAGTCGGGAGTTCTTCAGCCGGGAGTGAGCGGCGCTGTAACAAATATGTAATTAGGTATTTGCCTACTTTTTAATTTTTTTTTAAATCATGGGGCATATTTCTACTGCTTGCCAGCAGTAGATATATGCCAAAAAAAGAGAGACTTTAATTCTACTTTAAAATTGGAACTTTAAGGCAACAACATAAAGGCCAAAACCAAAGGGCATATGTCTGAACAAGGAGCTGAATGCAAAATTATACTTCTGCCTTTACACAACTGGTCAGTCTTGCGCCGAACCTGAAAGATACATCGGAAAACAATAAACCTTTAGAAGGCTTCGTATTTGGAAAAACAAACTGAATTAGTTGCATGACACAAATTAAGCAATATAATAGAAGCAATAGGGACATGAATGTCAGGGTGAAATAAGAATTTGTGATAACCTTTTAACACTTGGCATACAGAAAAAAGGGAAAAACTAGATGGCTGGTTAAGCAGTTTTAGGAAGAAGGACACCCCAGATAAAGTTTTCTGGATATGAGAGAATCAGTAACTTAAACTTATAAGACTTTCAACAAACAACACAATTAATCTTTCAGAAATTATTGTAGAACAATCAGATGATTCAGAAGCAAACATACAAGAATTCCATGCGGTCAAATAGTTGGTCTATGTTGATGGTGCAACAGAACAAATAATGTTATCACAAACTGCATTCACACCAGGTTCCACAAATGAGAAGGGCAATCAATTCCAATCTTGTCCGCCTCTTGCACCAAACATCTGAACCTTGGAAACTGAAAGCGCAATAAAGCTTTAAGCAACAGTATTTTATTTTCCAGGTTTATATTTACCTTTTATCCATAAATTAAAATGCAGGCATTACAAAACTAAGTACCTGAGGTGTGTAATGACCGGAAGGGACGTAAGGCATACCGTGCAACACTCCAGTGTTTGTAAA